TAAACCAGAAAAAGTGGTGATAATGTCATTGTTGTCTACAACATGATTTACATATTTATATCTTTTCATCATAAATCAGTTTAATTTCATTTTAATGAGTGGCAATGAGTGTATTTTTGGCAAATTTGTCAATATTGTTGACAAGGCATTTCCATCAGTAATTTCAAGGGCGAGATTAACACTGATTAGACTCATGTATGAAGTGAGACTTTTATTTCCATTTCCAATATTCTTCTTGTTTTTTTGGACTGCGATATTTCAACATTGTTATTTTAACATGATTTCAGGGAGGGTGACGTAGTTTGTGATGTGAAAAGCAAAAGAGCAAAGTCTTTTTCTTCCTGGATTCCACCGGGATCAGATTTCTGTTGCTGAAGTTGCTGGTTCCACTGGTGAACGGATAGGTTGCCAGTGTGTATTGTTTTCAGGATGCACCTTTTTTTCAGAGGAAGGTGTGTTTTGGTGGATCAGAGTGCGTCATTTTAGACCAGATGATGCCTTGGACACAGTAGGCAGTCCTAAGAATTTGGAGGCAGTTCACTTTTAAATGAGACCCTTGTACGGCCTAATCGAATGACAGTCAAAAACGATCTTTCAGCATTCCTGTCATCCAAATCAAATGTTGTGCTTCGAAATGGCGAGTTAAACGATCTGTGTAAATGCGGGGGCCGACATCAGTACCCTCTGGTGTGTTGTTTCAGTGGTAGGAGATGCCTTCCTGCAGGAAAATTGTGCCGTTCCCTGAAGTTCTAGTGTTACCGATGCGTGTGTGGGAAAACAGGTTGGGCTGCGACCAGGCTTTGAAAGTGATACCTGAATATGGTTCACTGGTTCACGACCCCAGATTCATCCTCTCTGAATGTATGAGTTGGATTGCGTAAAGCAATTGTGGTGGAAGTCATACTGGTTGAACACTGGGAACTGTTGGCTTTAACAAACGACTGGCATTAGCTGATACTTGAGTTCGGACTCATGTTCCCAGTTATGATCTACGGTATGCCGCCCCTCCTCTCTGTGTTGCTGCCTTTTGACCATTTCTAATTTCAGTTTTCTTTTGACATATAATTTGCAAAAACGCCAAAATCGTCAAGCCTAATGTTGAGCCTCAAGGCTTATAAGGCCTAAACGAGAAATGCTATCAGGCTAATCCATGAAATAGCAGGGAAAATAAAAATCTCTGCCAGTCCCTGCAAGTGGAATATCTAAAACGATGAAAGGAACGCAAGTCGGGATGCTTAAAACAGTGATCAAAACGTCTATGAAAGAAGGAACGCGGCTATCCTTGATCTGACAGGAAGCTTTTGTTTTCCTCTAAGCTGGCTAGATCTGCGAGTCTTATGCTGAATGCATCACGGACTGGAGATCTGACTACGCCACCGTCGAATTAACAAGTTCTCTACACAATTTCTAATCCTAGCCAAAGTTGATTGACAGTGTTGTCAAGACCACGAAATGGCTTGGTACCATCATTACAAGCACTTTTTCCCCCCCTGTATACCAAGTTTGGGATTACTTAAGATTACGCCTTAATGCCTTGTTAATCTCCCTTGGAGAGAAAGATTTCTGGGCACAATGCTGGACGGTGGCAAAGCGCATGGCGGTGATAAGACATCATAAGCGCATGATGAGATTGGGTATCTTCTTTTCATCTTCCTTTCCGTTCATTGTGAGCTCCAGCTCAGCTATCAATGTATTGGTAAAGAGTTGATGTTCTTTAAGCACCAGTCAAAAGATTATCTCGCTTTAGATGTTGCTTAAATGCTGTGAGGCCTTGTTCTGAGTCCATCCCAGGTCATTCTGTAGCATAACTACAGACTTCGTGAGTGGGAAAAATGATGATATTGCAGACTACCTACTGCTTAAGATTCACAGTGACACAATTAATTCAGTCTCAGAACATCAGAGCTGATGTTTATGTTCTTTATGAACGTCTCAGTGAAGACCTTCTTCTGGAATAATGCAGAAAGCTTAGTATTTTTTACATTTCTCAAAGCTCTTTGTATGAAATCTTCGAGTTGCTTGGGCTAAATGGAATCACCACAGTCCTAGGAACTGACCTAACACTTGACAGTAGGCCTTTCATATATACCTCGGGCCTGACTAAGTGTTTTGTTCCACTTTCAGCTGCAAATAGGATGCATTCTGCCCACGTTTTGTAGGAAACTGGTGCACAAAGCTAAATGTGCAGTTATGTGCCATGTGCAGAGCATAATGCAGAATGCATTTTACCACTTCATGCGTATGTTTTTGAGCGAGGATTGCACAAAACCGGGAAGGATCAGACCAAAAATAGGTGGAGATATTGGAACTGGCCAGTTTTGCTTGGATTTTCCCCTGCTTTTTAAATCCAGATGCAAATTCTGCATCCCAAAGGCACCTTATCTGGAGATGTCCAGAGGGGCTAGATGGAGATAAACATATTTCCCAACAGAATAACATTATTTCAACTCTTAGAATCAGATGTACAGCATGTGTGTATGTGAGAAGATGCAGCACAGAATGTGCCAGGATGCAGCCACGATATGCATTCCATGTTTTTGTTGCTCAAAATTAATTTCCTAGCCATAGTAGGAAATATTTTGTAATCAGAGTAGAATATTTTATTAAGCATTTTCTAGTCAGAGTAGAATATTTTAGTAAGTATTTTCTAGGCAGAGTAGAATATTTTAGGTATTTTCTAGGCAGAGTAGAATATTTTAGTAGGTATTTTCTAGTCAGAGTAGAATATTTTAGTAGGTATTTTCTGGGCAGAGTAGAATATTTTAGGTATTTTCTAGGCAGAGTAGAATATTTTAGTAGGTATTTTCTAGTCAGAGTAGAATATTTTAGGTATTTTCTAGGCAGAGTAGAATATTTTAGCAGGTATTTTCTAGTCAGAGTAGAATATTTTAGGTATTTTCTAGGCAGAGTAGAATATTTTAGCAGGTATTTTGTAGGCAGAGTAGAATATTTTAGTAGGTATTTTCCAAGCAGAGTAGAATATTTTAGTAAGTATTTTCTAGGCAGAGTAGAATATTTTAGTAGGTATTTTGTAGGCAGAGTAGAATATTTTAGCAGGTATTTTCCAAGCAGAGTAGAATATTTTAGTAAGTATTTTCTAGGCAGAGTAGAATATTTTAGTAGGTATTTTCTAGGCAGAGCAGAATATTTTAGTAAGTATTTTCTAGGCAGAGTAGAATATTTTAGTAGGTATTTTCTGGGCAGAGTAGAATATTTTAGTAAGTATTTTATGGGCAGAGTAGAATATTTTAGTAAGTATTTTCTAGGCAGAGTAGAATATTTTAGTAGGTATTTTCTAGGCAGAGTAGAATACTTTAAGTATTTTATGGGCAGAGTAGAATATTTTAGTAGGTATTTTCTAGGCAGAGTAGAATATTTTAGTAAGTATTTTCTGGGCAGAGTAGAATATTTTAGTAGGTATTTTCTAGGCAGAGTAGAATATTTTAGTAAGTATTTTCTAGGCAGAGTAGAATATTTTAGTAAGTATTTTCTAGGCAGAGTAGAATATTTTAGTAAGTATTTTCTGGGTAGAGTAGAATATTTTAGTAAGTATTTTCTATGCAGAGTAGAATATTTTAGTAGGTATTTTCTAGGCAGAGTAGAATATTTTAGTAAGTATTTTCTAGGCAGAGTAGAATATTTTAGTAAGTATTTTCTGGGTAGAGTAGAATATTTTAGTAAGTATTTTCTATGCAGAGTAGAATATTTTAGTAGGTATTTTCTATGCAGAGTAGAATATTTTAGTAGGTATTTTCTAGGCAGAGTAGAATATTTTATTTAGTATTTTTTAGGCAGAGTAGAATATTTTAGTAGGGACCACTTAATTTATCAAAACTATTATCTCTTCACCAATAAGCTTTTCTCTATAGTCTTTAGCTTGTTACTCCAATCTCACAAGCATGCTTTTAGTAGGCGGGGCTAAGTGTAGTTTGCGGGCCTCTTCAGAGCCTTAGTAATCAAACATTAATCTAATTTCACATTGTGAACACCTGTTGGGTCACTTCAAGGCACATTTTGCTCTGTGCCTGTATGTACATGTGACAGGTTCATCAGGTACCATGAACATTCTCAAAAATAAAAAGTTGTTTGGAGCAATGTTATAGAAGAACCCAAAGAACCTTTGCCTGGATAGTTGTTTAAAGTTCTTTGTTTGTAAATGAGATAAACACCCCTGGACAAAAAATGGGCCAAGCCAAAATGGCAAAATGCTAAGCCTTTAATGGTTTTCATAACAAATCATTAAACAAATAGATCAAGTAATTTAATCCAGGAAAGCTTTTCCCTTTGATTTCTTTAAACTTCTATGCGTAAATTGCAGACAAGCTTTTATAGAAAGACAAGTCAGTATTTTACCACTCAGCACTGATGGTTTCAAATAGCTGAAAAACCTTACCAAGCTAGTTTGTGTTTAATATGAGACCATATTTTCTCTATAGGATTTAAATCTGGATTCTGAGCAGGCCAAAAACATCAGTAAAAACCGTTTTATTTTGGGCTTGGCCCAGAATGAAGATTTTTTTTAAACATTCAAATGACCTCCAAATAAAGGAACAGTTCAACACAGTCATATAACCATATGTCCAAGCCAATAATCATTTCTTTTAAAGAAGAAGAGATTAAAGAAGGAGTTGAACAAGAACATCTTGCCATTAATGAGAATTGTATTTGCCAGTAATGAAGGCAGTTTTCTCTCCAAGCTAGTCAGTGCTAGTTCTGCCCACCCTATCATATAATATGGCTAAGCTAGGAGGATGAAGGTTAACAGAATCTTCCTCCGAAACCTGTGAAGTGCCACCACTGCCACTCATGCAACATCATTAGACAGCTCAGCATGCTTGGAGGAGAATGCTAACTGCTAATTCTGTTACGTCAGCCATCCTACCCACTCACTGGCTGAGCGAAACCAGTTTTTTTGGACTCACCCCCTGCCATGGATGGCTGTGGCACCACCAGGGATTGAGCTTCCAACTTTTTTTTTAAATTAATAGAAATTTTCTTACCTGAAATACATTCTTCCGGCTTGATTTCTCTGAAGTCCAGTCTATTACTGCTCCACACAGGTCTACTCCATCTGGTTTACATCCTGGTTTCTGTTGAATAGAGCCCTATTTATCCAAGAGTTTATAGTACTAAAGACAGAAAATACACCATGTGAAAGTGCTCAACAAAGTAACCACTTGGTACTCAATTAGTACAATCCATCAAGTATGTTTGTGAGAACTTTTTACTCATATTTCAGTCATTTACTTTGAATTATTCATTCCTTTTTTAATTAAAATTTAATGACACATGCATGAGCTCTTAATGATGACAGACATAAACTTTCATCAGAGTTGGGATGTAGTGGAATACAAGTATTGGGAATTCGTATTCAGATTACAAAAATGAAGTATCTGTATTTAGGCAAAAATACATTTTGTATTCAGTATTTAGAATACAGTTACTTTTTACAGTTATATTATATATATACATTTATAACTATATAATATATGCCATCTTTTAAAGAAAAATCACCAATGCTATTTTAAAAATAGCACTAAAGTTCCTGCTAAAGCCTGAGTAGACTGATTAATCAAAGTGGTGATCAGTTATTAATCTCAGTGTCACTGAGCTCTGCTAAAGCCTGAGTAGACTGATAAATCAATGTGATGATCAGTTATTAATCTCAGTGTTACTGAGCTCTGCTAAAGCCTGAGTAGACTGATAAATCAATGTGATGATCCGTTATTAATCTCAGTGTTACTGAGCTCGGCTAAAGCCTGAGTAGACTGATAAATCAATGTGATGATCAGTTATTAATCTCAGTGTAACTGAGCTCTGCTAAAGCCTGAGTAGACTGATAAATCAATGTGATGATCCGTTATTAATCTGAGCGTTAGTAAACTCTTTTGACAGATGACTGAACTGAGTAGTGAACATGTGCTTGAGTGATAAACTTAGCTTTGCCATTGTACTGGACTTCAGCAGCAAGTTACATACCTAGCATTCGTCCTTGTGTTCCGTGGCTATGTACCTCTCATTCATTGAAAATCTACTCACTAGTCAAATTTGCCAGAGGTCATTATTGGGATATGGTGAATTGTTGGCTTAACTCATGAAAGGGCAGTGGGATTATGCGAGCAGCAGTGGATTGAAGCAAGTGATGAGGGTCAAAAAAACGTGAAACCATATCAGAACGAAACTGCCAACCAGTAATAGTGAGGAACAGCGTGAAATAAATAAAAAATCAGAGTTTTTCCTATGTACTTTAATAATATGAATTCTAAATGTACTCTGAATAAGTCACTTTTTTATGTATTGTAATGGAATATGCTACCAAATACATGTAGGACAGTGTGTTCAGTATTCAACCATCACTATTTTGTCAAAGTATTCTGCCCAGCACTGACCCTCATAAACACTTATTCCAATAGCCGTCATTTGACATATAGGCTGCCTTGCACAGTAAAATATTACCCAGTACTTTTACTCGAGTATGTGTTTATGCTAGTTTACCCACTTCTTCTAAAAATAGAAAGCATATGAGTTGATAATGCAATACTAAGTGGAAAAAATATATGTAAGCATCATTTGGAATCCAGAAAATGTTGATAACTTGTAAGCTTGTTCAGTATTACTGTAAGTGACGTACCTGAACACTGAAATTGATTTAGCAAAGAAACATAAATGTATGCCATAATACTATATTATGTCATAGAATAAATCTCAAGTCGAGGTAAGTGATACTGGAGTCTGTGTGAAGAAAAAGGACTCTGACATTTCCTGGCACTGAACTGGAGCCACTCGTGCTGTGATCGTGTAACACGAGACAGTTTTGTCTGAATCAAAGGCCCAACATGTCAAGGAATATGTATGAAGGGGCCACCTGTAACCTTTCCATTACGTTAGCACCCACATTCCGGTTGTTAATAATAATGACCGTTCATGTGTTCTCTCAAGCTCTTCCCATTCCCCTTTTTCCTTTTCTTTATCCCTTAGCATGCATGCAAGTGATGGCAGTCTTTTGTGACAGAGATTCGAGATTCAAGTTTGATTGGCCTACCAGCACAATTGGTTGGAATTTTCACTAATTTTCACCTCATATGAATATCATGTCAATGCACACTATGAACTCATATTCATAAGGCATTACAAACATGAATATCAACAAATATAAAAATGCATTACACTTTATAGGCATGTGTATTATGCGTTATGAATTGTGAACTTAATACATTATAAATGGCGTTCAGAAAAGAAACTCTGCTTTATGACGTTTCTAGTTGTAAACATGCGCTGAGCCATTTTCTATTTCATGATCTATTTTCATTATGTGAAGGATATTAATACTGTCACTTTCCTTGAATCTTGCAAACATGTTAAAATACATTAAATACTAGAAAGGGAATGTGTGTGAATGAACTTTAAGTTGGCTTGGCAAAGCTACTGCTGTGAAATCCCAGGTGGTTGCTAAGGTGTTGCTATGTTATACCAGATGGTTGATAAGGTGTTGCTATGTTATCCCAGGTGGTTGCTACATTTGACTGTTTTTAATAGAATGGCAATAATTTGACCTTTCTAGACTAGGACACTCCACTCTGAGTTGAAACCCAAAATACAGATGTCAACACTGGAGTTAATCTGAAATGTTCTACTGGAGACGGCAGTAATGTTGACCATCAATGTTCCTAAATATTATGTTTATGGCTGCATTTTTATGTGTTATTGTGGTATAATTTAGCACATACTCCCATTCAATGCCATTCAGAAGTTAGAAATCACAATAATTTTGTTCAAGAATGCTAAATAATTGAAATATAAGATTCATATATATATATATATATATATATATATATATATATATAAATACACATATATACCGATCAGGCATAACATTATGACCACCTCCTTGTTTCTACGCTCATTGTCCATTTTATCAGCTCCACTTACTATATAGGTGCACTTTGTAGTTCTACAATTACAGACTGTAGTCCATCTGTTTCTCTGCATACCTAGTTAGCTCTCTTTTACCCTGTTCTTCAGTGGTCAGGACCCCATGGACCCTCACAGAGCAGGTACTATTTGGGTGGTGGATCATTCTCAGCACTGCAGTAACACTGATGTGGTGGTGGTGTGTTAGTGTGTGTTGTGCTGGTACGAGTGTATCAGACACAGCAGTGTAAAAGGGGGCTAACAAAGTATGCAGAGAAACAGATGGACTACAGTCTGTAATTGTAGAACTACAAAGTGCACCTATATAGTAAGTGGAGCTGATAAAATGGACAATGAGCATAGAAACAAGGAGGTGGTCATAATGTTATGCCTGATCGGTGTGTACACACATATATATATATATATATATATATATATATATATATATATATATATATATATGAAGTTAGTGCCATGAGTTTCAGGAGTTTCTGCATATGCATTTTAATAATTAACATAATATAAACACAATACAAAACAAAAACCATAAAATAAACAAATGTTACTCACTACCACCCCCTGTTTTCGGTAAACCCATTACATCTCAATCAATGTATTTCATTGATTTCTTTTTATTTAATGTTAATTAAATTGCTTCAGTCCAGTGCATGATACAACGTTGCAATGTACAAATATGATTGTGGAATATAATCGCAATCAGATTAAACAACTGCAATCTGGCAGTTGTGTAGCCTAATAACTGTGACAGGCCTGTTCTTTTTGCACACTAATCTGCAGCCGGATTGGTTTAACATCACTGAGATTATTGACGGCAAACGTTTGAACTGTAATTGTGTCCTTTTATCTTTCTTAAATTTACAGTACGGTCTTTCATTCACAGGTTTCTGCATCCAAGAGGTGTACGCATGCATCAGTACATCAGATCCTTAAAGAGCAGGTGATTATGCAACTTCTTGCCTTATTAAATTATTATTAAATGTCTGTATAGTTATGTGAATGCAGATGTGTGCAGATGCTTTTTTGTAAAACGTGCACACTCAGCATGTGAGTGTTAAAGTGAAAAGTTACCAAATTAGCCAGCGCCTCTTGCTTGCTCTCTTTGTAAAAATGCAGCTCGCCCGAGCAAAGAACGACCCAGGATGATGTCCAGTTTTTCCTGTGGAAACAGCCAGAAGACGTAAGGCTCTGTGATTAATAATAAACTGATAATAAGTAATAAAAATAATAAAACCTATATAATGAATAATAAGGAAAGACAAAATGCAGGCCTTTTATTCTGATATTAATCTCAACTCTTCTAATTCAGTAACTCTCAGTTGTTTTAATAATTAACTCATAATTTCCAAAAGTATTTCAAAGAGGTCCATATTAGTGAAGGCAAGCACAAATTTTGTATAGTTGTGTGCAAAAGTTTGGGCACAGTTACTATTTATTTACTGAATTTTACATATTTGGGAAAATATATACATAAAAAGTGGCCTGTGCAAAAGTTATGGCACATATTTTATAGTTTATATTTTTTCCAAAGAAAAGAAGAAAGTGTGCAAATAAATAGAAATCATGCGCTAATATTTGCATAAAAACGCCATAAACAAGTTTATTCCCTGTAGAGGATGTGTTGACTCAAATTTACTTAGCAAATCAACAAACTTGACTGTATGATACCTCCAGAGACCAAACTTAAGTGTCATTCATGACCAGGATGATTCACACACCTCAGTTTCTTTCCTCCTTCTGAAATCTTGGCCTTGTTCAAATATTCTCCTTGCAAGTCAACGTGAAACTGTAATCAAGACAGCATTACACATCAATACATTATAAATGTACAGTTATATGCAGTTAAATACAATTATCCATTCTACACACCAACATTCAGTGTTCAAGGGTTGGGCAAAACTTATTGTTACCATAAAAAAACAAACAAAACAAAACAAAAAAATCGCAACTGGCTAAATGCAACTAGGCCGCTACCTTTCATGTCATGCTAAAAACACATCTCTATAAACTATTCATGAAGAGTGCCAGAGCATGTTCTGACCCTGCGCTGACCTTTGCTTAGCCTCAGAGAGCCAACTCTGCTAGCTAACATCTCTGAAGAACATCAGGATGTTTTCATATCTAGTTCATTTGCTAAAGTCTGCACTGCGATTGAGATTTTGTGATATTATATCTTTTTCACTTGATGTGGTTGGTTTCAGACTGCAACGGGACCAGATTACACTTGAGTGTTCGTTTATTGGTCAGACGCATTGGTCAGATACTCTGTTCCTCTGACATTTGCCACCATGAAAATAGAAAAACAGAAAAAAGATGCTTAACGCCTACATTTATCACAATCAGAGCGACAATTATACACTTTACTTGATGTCTGCTTCTTTATGATTGGTTTTCTAATTTTGTCCCCTTGGAATTATAAGGTTCTATCTGACATTCTCAAAATTGAGTTATTCTTCTTCTGTGACAACTTCTTACCATTATGTGAGGTGTTTTTTAAGTTTTGTTCATTTTTGGACTCTTTATCTAGAAAACAAAAAAGTTCTAACTTAGTTCTATAAGGTGCTCTCTGTGAGCCAATCAGCACTTCCAGCACACACAAGAGGACCAATCAGGTTCTGCGTCTTTGTCATGTCGCCGCACTGCTCAGTGACTGCAGGAAAAGTTTATAAAACTTTATGAAAATGTTGCTGAAACTCTGCCTGTCTTCTTGCAGATCTTTAAAAGGTCTTATTGTCTTAAAATGTGCAAATATTAATTTCATTCATTCATCCACCTTTTCTTTATCTTCTTTCTACTAAAAAAAAAGACATTTCTGTGCATTAGAGTCACATTTCTGATATAAAACCTCATGCTGCCTTTAGACTGACCTGCTACACTTACTTGCCAGGACAGTTTATTACAGTAGCTGTTGCTGTCTAAGCTAAAGAAACCTTAAACTAATGGTTCCTACATAAAACTGACCTCTGCACTGGACAAAATGTTGTTTTTTGAATAAGAAAAAGATGATTTGTCCTAAAACAAGAAATAAATATCATATAAAAACTAAATATAAGTGCCCAAAAATGTCATAGAAAGCATCGCATTTAACTAATAATGTAGAAACTCTGTTACGACACTGATTCTAGGTTTTCAAACAAATTATGAGTATTAACTGTTTGTGTTCCTTGAAAATCATTGCTTCTTTTCATGTTTTGCCAAATAGAACCATATAATTTCAATCAGAAAGTGAGTACTTAGGATTAGAAAGTTCAGTAACACTTCATTTGAAGGCTACCTGCATAAGGACTTCATTACACACGAGTAAGCATTGAATAACGTATTTATAAAGCAATACTTGAGTATTTATGAACAGCTTATGCTATTAATCACAAGATGACATCAGATGTTTTATGAAATAAATAACATTGTGCTGACATAGGGGACCTTAAACTGAGGTGATGGACAGTTTGTTTCATTTATAACACTGTTATAACTATGATCTTCTCAAATGGTGGCACTTATACAAGGCTATGCAGAGGCCTAGATAAAGACATATCAGTTGAATATATTTATAAGTACAAATGTTTAGTTTTTAATGTGTTTCAAAAGGAATAAATGTCTATCACCCTTATGTCAACACCTTAAAATGCCAGGCTTACTTCATTTATTTTCCTTAAGCATTCTATGTCAGCTTGCGATTAATGGCATAAGCTGTTTATTAGTACTCAGCTATTACTTTATAAGTGCATAATTTAATGCTTATTCATGTGTTATAAAGTCCTTATGCAGGTAAGGCCTTAAAATAAAGTGTTACCGAAAGTCCTATCTGCATTTCACCTGTTCCGAAAAACTCATTTACACATTTGATAGGATTTTGATAATGTACTTTCAGAATACATTTAGGGTGTCTGTCATTTTCATGTATGAACGAGACGTGTTCCACATATCAGTTCTGCTATTTGGAATGCAAAATCTTTGAAGCTCAATATCTCAAAACTGCTCAGAATGCAGATAGAACCTTATAATTCCAAGGAGACGATGGGATTGAATCACGTCGCGGATGCTTGGCTAAAAAATGTGATCAATGTGCCCAAATCATGTTGCACATTCATTAGAGGCACACCAAGACCCACCATTTTTGCTGGACCACAGTTCAGTTGTTCAGAGTGGACCTGAAGGTGGAGTGTTCACACATCAAAACAGACTAAAAAGGTCTATAGGTCCGCACCAAACAAGAGAGCCATTAAAGAGCCCTAAATTAAGAAATATTAAAGCTGACATTTAGTAAATTCACACTGGTTAGTAACTTAAACGGTGGCCGAATGTATCACAGTAAGAACATTTTTACTGGATTAGTGAACTGCAGCTCCTCTCAGTGAACACAAACTATTGAAAGCCTCACTGTTTGTGAAATGCCCCACCCCCCAGCTGAAATGGATTGTGATTGGTTCTGCTAATAAGCTTTTTTTTTTGTTTCAAGTGTATATGTCAATGTAAACGTCCTGAACTCAACCTTAAAGTGGTGGGTCGTCACCCCAATATTTTGAAAAGGTGTTGGTTTAAATGCCCTCCCCCTCCGTGACCCTGCCAACGTTCACAATTCTAGTTTATTGTGAAGAAGGAGGCAAACACACACCTGCAGTCCCTGACCAACATTGTGCTGTGACTGGTTCCTTCGATGTCGGTTGATCTGAAGAAAAACGATGCAATAAAGAAATCAAACCATATAAATGAACTAGGCAGCATATATTTGACTTTATATCAGGGTCATTAAAGTGATAAATAGGTGAAAAACTAATTTACACAGTGTTTCTGTTAAGGTCTGACAGCCAAGACATATTTCTTTAATTTTGCTTATATTTTGTTTATACTTTTGTCCATTTTTTATGGTTTGTTTATTTATATGCGAGTCAATTTGAGATTACTTAACAACTCAAAGTGGTTTGAGGAAAGCATGCGATGATTTAAGTTCCATTTAATTTACACTTTGCAAGCTGGGGAAGTCAGAAATGTGTGAGCAGTCACTGAAACTAAAGCCTCATAAGCTGTTTAAAGCAGTGGACGGTTAAGCAGTGCTAGGCTGCCCTCTACTGTTTTCTTCTGTGTATGTTTCCCACAAAGTTCTGCCTTGTATTTATGAATTAGTAGATAAACATGAATTTCTCGAGCAATGGTGTAAATAAATAAGGGATTCTCAGCCCAGACCACTGAGGGACACAATGTTTGTGACTGATTTCACCAACTTCAGGACCAAAAAAATGCTCCTAATTTTGTAAAGGCATATTATTTTACATGAAATGACTTCAAGGTTCAAAGTTAGAGTTGAAAACACTTTGGACTTTTAACTAACTTGGACTTTAGACTAAATCCTTTTGCTTTGAGTGACCCTATATGTTATACATACATACATACATCATCTAAACCGCTTATCCTTCTGGGTCGCGGTGGGGTGCTGGAGCCTATCCCAGCTGTCATTGGGCGGAAGGCAGGATACACCCTGGACAGGTCGCCAGTCCATTGCAGGGCAGACAGACAGACATACACATTCACACACTCACACCTAGGGGCAATTTTAGCACGTCCAATTGGCCTGACTGCATGTTTTTGGACTGTGGGAGGAAACCGGAGTACCCGGAGGAAACCCACGCAGACACGGGGAGAACAGGCAAACTCCTCACAGAAATGACCCTGGTCACCCAGCCGGGAATCGAACCCAGGCCATTCTTGCTGTGAGGCAACAGCGCTACCCACTGCGCCACCGTGCCACCCACCCTATATGTTAATTATATTTATTTCATGGAGATAAATGGTAACTTTATTTAGAGTGGTCCTTTGTAGATGATTAATAAACTAGTAACAGAGTATCAGTAACATATCAGTGAAGCAGCAGTAGTGAAGCATCTGAATACACTGAGGTAAAAATCTTGAAGATGTATTGTCGATACATTACTTACATTAAGTAGATATGTTGTTGATGTGTTATATGAAGTGAACTATTTTGTCACTAACAATCATTACACAACTGAAATCTGACAGTTGTGACAAACTTTACCAATTTTGTTTCAGTTGTGACAAATTTTACCAATTTTGCCTCAGTTGTGACAAACTTTACCAATTTTGTTTCAGTTGTGACAATTTTTTACCAATTTTGCCTCACTTGTGACAAATTTTACCAATTTTGTTTCAGTTGTGACAGATTTTACCAATTTTGTTTCAATTGTGGTGAACAAATTTTACCAATTTTGTTTCAGTTGTGACAAATTTTACCAATTTTGTTTCAGCTGTGACAAATTTTACCAATTTTGTTTCAGTTGTGACATTTTTTTTTACAATCATGTTTCAGTTGTGACAATTTTGGCTCATTTTGAGCAGAACTCAAAAACAGCCAGTACATGACTAGCAAACACAGCTTTGAAAAGTTACACATTAAATCGTAATATTTTTCATTAAAACACCAAAAATACTTAAATGCAGAAAATATATGTTTCAGTGGTGACAGTTCACAATGTTCCAAACTGATTTTCAGACTTTGGGACACATTTAAGAGAGCAGGGTACAACCTAACATGGGGCACAAGTCAACAGGGACCTTTTACATTGTTAAAGAAGGTCAAGCAGCATGTGCTTCTGGCCACATTACCACATTTTCTAGCCACAGTCTCCCACCAAAATTCAGAGCAATTCATCAGCGCTTTGAAGAAATATGTGCCAAAGAGTGATTTCAGGGCATGTACGTCATTTTTTGCAGCACAAGTTTTTTTTTAGGTTACTGAGCTGTTGGTGTAAATCATAAAATCTGACCTCATTATATTTCATATAACTTTGATCACCATCTTGTTGCCTACAATGTAGCACTGTTTTGAAGCAGCTGACAAGCTTACAGTAAGTGCTAGTTAGATTTAAGTACAACCAACCCACTGTCTGTTGCAGTGAACCCACCCACGGGGTAAACTGTAACACTGCGCTTCCTGTCATTTTCGATGGAATTGTACCTGAACCAAAACCACAATGTGTTAGGTTGTGACCCGCTCTCCCCTACTTCAAAACAAAGGGATCTAACTGCTCACCATGTGGCCATGAGAGTGAGGGATGCAGTCTAACTTAGTGCTCTAAAGTGAAGGGGCGTGGCTAGTTTTAACACAGTGTTACAACTGATCCTTGTAAAATGAAACAGTTTTTAACTTTTTATTTACAGACATACTAAAAAAGTCATGTAAATAATATAATTTTCAAATGAATCAAACTGATATTTGCTGCTCTATGTTTGATCAAAATCTACATTTTTGAATATTTATTTTTATTTTATATATTTGTGCCGTCTGGTTGACAGAACATAGAATGGTACTGAATTCATTGTGCTTTTATAAAATTCTCATTGAATATGTTCGACTTGTTACCAGTAAACGTTATGACTATTATATATATATACACATATATAAAATACGGTACCACTTTTAAATATAACCTTTATAAAGCATTCCTGAATGGTTTAAAATGAGTTTATTAATGGTTATTAATTAGATCATAAAGACCTTAAAATCATGAATAAGCATTTACAACACATAAATAAAAGGGCCACAGTGGACTATTGTTTGCCTGAGAGTGAACACTCACTCATTTATACAGTTATAAATCTGTTAGCTTAATCATATATTTTTAAATATTTTATAGCTGTTTATTAATAATTTCTAAAGCGTTTGATGACCTAACTAATAACCATGAATAAACTAATATAAAACCAAAAATAAACCCTTTATACAGGTAGGCTAATTTTAAAGTGTTACCATATGGGGTGTATTATTATTATTATTATTATTATTACATATAGATACTTACATATATATAATATATGGGGTATATTATTGATACTTACATAGCTATATAGGTACTCACATATACATAATGCATATGAGAAGTAGAAAAAGAGCTCACCGGTTTCTGAGGTGTTTCGAGATCTGGAATGACCATAGATTTGGTCTGACTCAGGCGTTCTCCGCTGCTGGTTGTGGAGCCCTTGATCCTCATAGCTACGGCTCCATGAGGAGGCAGCACCAATGCAGGCGGCTTTGACACGTTCTGCATGGTGGTGGTGCTGAGGGAAAAATTATAGACCAGATCAGCCAATAAACACCAGTTCATCTCAACTCAGAAGCCTTATGTAATAGACAATGCTTGTTCATGTATGTTTCTGAATGTGCAAACAGAAATCAGCATATTCAAACAACAGCCAGCACAGAACCCAGCAGTTTCAGCTGGAGAAACATAATTATACTACTGTTCAACAGTCGAAAGGAATCACTCAGCCTATTACTAATTGAAGTTTTATTCAATAGTAACTTAAAAATATTCCAAACTAGACACCAGACTGTATTTTAAGATCTTTTATTTCATTTTTCAAGGATTTTTGCAACAACTTGAAGTTATTCATATATAAATAATTATCTGTATATATAGTAATTTCTTGGTGAGTTATACGCCATGAGATTTCCCAAATGTGAGGCAATCTGTATGTTACCTTACAGCTTTGTAAGTCTAAGTCATCAAATTATCTACAACTCTGTATATTATTCTAGACACATCTGCAATGTCTTTTTTCCAGCATCCTACTAATTATGAAATATGTACAGTGCAAAAGTCAGAAACCAGTTCAGTCTTAGAAGTTGGTCTAGCATTTTCTGATCCAAGTAATCCCAATTACATTCAGTGATGTTAAGGTCTGGACACTGGGGTGGTCAGTCCATTGTTCAGCTTCTTTGTTTGATGTGTCTGTCTCCTTTTCTCAGTAAGAGCTTCTTGAACAGCTACACATCCTGTCAGACCCATAGCGCTGAGTCGTCTTCTCACAGTGGAAGGATGGACAGAAACACCTGTGGATTTTTTCACATCTGAAGCAGCTTGATTTTCTCCTCTCTCTCAAAGATGAAGCTTTAAGCACTGTTTACCTTTTGGGGACAGTTTTGGTGGTTCACTTGTTGCACATTTTTAGGAGTGCCATTTTCCCTGTATCTTTTAATCATTTTTTGAACTCCAGTTTGGAAAACACTTTTTTTTCACTTATTTTCCTTAGACTTTGCTTCCACACCAAACTTGTCAAACCATGTCTTTATGGAGCTCACTTTGTGCACATGGGCACAGCCATGCTGGAACAGGAAAGGGTCTTCCCTAAACTGCTGCCACAAAATTTTAAGCATATAATTGTCTAAAATGTCTTTGTATGCTGTAGCATTAACATCACCCTTCACTGGAACTAAGGGGCCCAAACCCTGGAAAAACAGCCCCAGCCCATTATCCCTCCTCCACCAAACTTTACTGGTGTCACTGTGCATTCTGGTAGGTGGTGTTCTCCAGGCATCCGCCAATCCCAGTTTCTTCCATCAGACTGCCAGACAGTGAAGCATGACTCATCACTCCAGACAACATGCCTCCACTGCTCCAGAGTCCAGTGCTTTACACCACTTCAGCTGACACTTGGCATTGCACATAGTGATCTTAGGCTTGTGTGCAGCTGCTCAGCCATAGAAGCTCATTTCTTGAAGCTCCTCACTGACTGTTCTTGTGCTGATGTTGCTTTCAGAGGCAGTCTGGAACTCTGTAGTGAGGATAGGTGAAACAATGCTTTACATGATTCACCACTCGGCGACATCGCTCTGTGAGTTTGCATGGTCTTTCACGTCTTGGTCGAGCTGTTGTTACTCACAGATGCTTCCATTTCACAACAATACCACTTACAGTTGATCGGAGCAGATCTAGCAGGGTAGAAATTTTGCAAACTGACTTGTCACAAAAGGGAGAACCTATGACAGTGCCATGTTTAAAGTCACTGAGCTCTTCAGTTTGACCCATTCTACTACCCAAGTTTGTCTATGGAGATTACAGGACCATGTGCCTTGATTTTATGCACCTGTTAGCAATGAGAGTGGTTGAAACATGTTTACTCGATGATTAGGGGTGTCCATATACCAAAATGGTTTCCAAAAAGTTTTCATGAGAAGGAAAAAACATTCTTAAGTTTCAATTGAAGTGAATTTTAAAGCAGTTAATTTTGGACCATTTCTACTGGTCCATTCGTCAAGAAATGGTCACAAAATATAAAGAGCAGCTGGTGTTTTATTTTTAGGTTTTGTACAAGGTTCTGTTCTGACAGCAACAATATGAAAAATTTTGCACTAAAGGAATGAACAAGTTTTCTATATTTTTCAGTACTTTGAAGAATTTTTGTCATAACACTTTATTTGGATGGTCCACTGTAGATGCAAGAAGTAACATTCAACAATCAAATCTATCAAATCTGTCTCTAACCCTAAATATAACCCTAACCTCAGTGCAACACCTACACCTACTCTTAAACCTAAACTGTAGTGTTGTAGATAATCATCTGTGTGATAATCATCTGAGTATCGGTGTAGCATATATAGGGGGCCATCCAAATAAGGTGTGACCATTTTTGTGTTATTCTCGATTGTCTATAAAGCATGTCTCAAAATTAATTAAAAATGTATTTTATTTTTCTATTTTTAACATTGGTTAAATCTTTTCAATATCAAGTATTTCAATAAATTGTTTCCGTCTCACAGCCTGAGATTGCCCACTCGTTATTAATATTCATAAGCAAACCCCTGATTCTGACTAACATTCATTCGCTGACTCATGTAGGTTGTAAAAACTTGGTTGCTGGTCTTTAACCTCCTTAACCCATTATATAATATGGTTGATTTGGGCAGTTTGACAATAATAGGATATCAGTATATCCTTGTGTTGGTTTGATAGTATTTCACAATTGCAAGAGTATCATATTTACGTTCCTTCAGGTAAATAAGTTAAACATAGCTTGATTTGGTTGCTTTGTTTAAGTGAACAGTAAAACACAGAGTTTCAGTGCAGAGAATTGATGCAGAGAGATTCAGAAAAGGTGCGTGAATGAGTACAGAAAGGTTTTAACCTAGGTATTGCCTGAAGAGATGAGTCTCCACTCCACTGTGGAAGGAATAGATAATTGTTCCACCACTGAGGCGCAAGGACACCAAAGCAGCTATTTGTGTGGGCGTGCATAGATCTTAAGGAAGCACGTCAGGAGGTCAGAAGTCAAAGACCAAAATCGCTGTGCATAGCAGAGCTTTGTATCTGATTCTTGCTTCGACAGGAAGATAATAAAGTGATGTCAGCCACATTATGGTATTGGTGGTCTGGGATAATGGACCACACAACCCATATCATTCTGAATGCTCAGTAGAGAAGAGATGAGGTATGAGAAAAGGCCTGCAAAGGGCTTTGAACAAGAAGTTGAGCAGCGTCTTCAGTCAGGAAGTGTTGTATAATTCTGATGTTGTGAAGTAACAATCTACAGCACCTGGTGGCAGATTTGTGATCTTTGAAATCAATTTTGTCATCTAAGATAACTCTAAGGTTTCTAGCCCTGTGTGATGGATGGATGATGAAGGAGTCAATAGTGATGGACAAGTCCAGTGTCAGGTTGGTCATTGCTGAACATGAGTCCTTTCCTGTCAATATTCATTTGGTAGTTGCTGGACGTGAGTTCTGTATTGGCAAGATTGAATTAGGAGTTCCTGGAAGTGAGTTCTATTTTGTCAAGATTCAGTTTCAAGTCATCATCCATGAAGAGGTAAAAGAATGTGGGCTTATCACTGATCCTGGAGATTTAATATATGAGAAGAACAGAAGTGGCCCAAGAATGGATCCATGGGGAACTCCAGTAGTGAGGCTGTTAGTTCACAGGTATCCACTCTTGGGCCACGTTTGTTTTCCTTGTACGCTAAATCACCAGGAACAGTGATATGGAGAATCAGTGTGGCTGTGAGTCCACAGGTATAAAACCACTGCTGTACATATATAAATAAAATCTGTTTACTTGCGGTTCTGAATTGATCATGGTGTAACTGAGTATTATTTACTTTATATATTTTTTTGATGTTCAGTAGATCTGAAATTCAAACATCCCCTAAGAGCAGATCAGAATATTATTATTATGATGTTTTCATTTAATAGTAAAAATGGATGCTGTTTGGTTTATGTTCAATTAACTTTAGCTGGTCATTCTGAATAAGTTTTATAGAAGAAAAACCTTATGATTTCTTCCAGTTACAATGCAAAGTTGAGCTAAGACAATAATTTGATAGTAATTAATAATGTTTTAGGCTACATATTATTTAATGTTATATTTTACAAAAACATAATTTCTGAGAAAAAAAAAAAATCTAATCTGGTCTTAATCTTGACTCTGGCTCGACTGCTGAAAGTCTTGGTCTTGACTCGTACTCAGTATGCCTTAATATCTGTCTTGACTAGGCTCTAATGATCTTGACCACAACACTAATAGAGAGAGAGAGCCATTATATACTCCCTTGCATGCAACCCTGAAGATAGGATGAGAACCACGAAAGAGCAGTGCTGCTTATGCCCAAGTCTGAAAGTACCGAAACCTGTAACAGGAAGTAGTGCAGACAGGGATGTTCTAGAAGCACATGGTTACGAGATCAGTGATTGATTAAGTTAAAGGGGCACATAGAAATAAATGTTTAATAAACTTGAGCATTGTTGATTTTCCAAATTGTCCTTTTTTGGTGAACGTCTGCAGGTCAACTTCCTATCTGTGACCTCATCACAAACATCAATGTCTAAAATACGCAAAACAACATCTAAATAAGCCAGAGATATTTTGGAAACAAGTGCTGTGGACTGATGAAATAACAGTACAACTCTTTAGCTGCAATAACCAAAGGAATATTTGCTAATTAATTGATCAGAATTTGATGAAAGGAACACCTCGCCAACTATCAAGCATGGGGCTGGATTTATTATGCTTTGGAGCTGTGTGGCAGCCAGTGTCACAGGAAACATTGCATGGGTAGATGGAAGAATGGATTCCACTAATTATCTGCAAGTTCTGAAAGCAAATGTGACCCAGTCATGCCAGAAACTGAAGCTGAAAAGAGATGAATGATGCAAACATGCCTCAAAATCCATTAACTACCTAAAAGCAAGCTTATCCTTATCCCTCACAGTTGGCTGACTTGAGCATCTTTTTAAAAATCTGTGGGAAGATCTTACACATGCTGTGCATATGAGACAGTCCAA